GTAAATAAAGTTGGTGTCAGAGAATGGGACTGAAAAAAAAAGCAGATGGAAACGAGAAGTGGCAAATCAAACTACAGCTTAGCAGATTTAGGTAGGCAGCACTACAAGAACAGCAAAAGAAACAAGAAGAATGAGAAAAGAAACAAGAAGAGAGATTACAGCAGTGGCAAGAAAACCTGCAACAATGGCAGCTCGAACAGCAAAATAAACAAAAGAGATTACAGCAGTTGTTGGAGGAAAAGAAAAGACACAAGACGAACGAGAAAAGAAACAAGAAGAATTATCAGTGGTTGGAGGATAAAGAAAATAAACAAGAAGAAAAATTACAGCAGTTGTTGGAGGAAAAAGAAAAGAAACAAGAAGAGAGATTACAGCAATGGCAAGTGGAACAAGAAAGGAAACAGGAAGAAAGTCTTCAATAGTTGCAGGAAAGTCACCAGCAACTACAGGAAAGTCAACAACAGTGGCGAGAAGTACAAATGGAAAACATTAGCAAATTTAAAATGAATTAAATATATTAAATGATGATTTATTGTCTTTTACACAAGGAGGATACATTAATCATCGATTTAATCAGCCCCGGACAACGGCAAGCCCCTTCCAGACCCCCGCAGCTAAACCCTAATGCAGACATCTTCAGTCCTTTTAGAAGTCACATCCAAGATATGAATGGCAGTAATAGGAGTGATCCAGTATGAAGGAAGCCACAGGAATTCGATGGGAAGGCACCGTGGGAAGCATATAGAGCACAATTTGAGCTCCTGGTAGAGATGAATGGGTGGACAGAGGAGCAGAAAGCAGTATATCTGGCAACAAACCTAAAGGTACAACCAGTGGAAATACTTGGACAGTTGTCAGCAGACGACAGGCATAACTATAAAGCACTGGTAGCTGCTCTAGAGCTCAGGAAGGGAACTCAAAATCAGTCTGAAGTCTACAGGGCTAGGTTTAGGACGAGAGTCCGTGCTAAAGGGTAGAGCCTGCAAGAGCTGGCACAGGATTTGGAAAGTATGTCAAACAAGGCCTACCCAACTGCACCACCCGATTTCCTCAAGCTGTTGCTAAGGGATCAGTTTGTAGACGCCTTGGACAGTCCACAACCGAAGATATAAGTGAAGCAAGCACACCCCTCTACTGCAGGATGCAATCCAGCACAGAGGTACCAAGGTTGATACAGTCATCAGGATTCAAGGCCAGAAAAGGTCAGCTTTTAGAGAGGTTTGAGGGACTTTGCTGGCACTGTAACAAACCCGGAC